TCTATAGAAAATCGTGCTGATGTGGAGACTATCGCAGAGCTTACAGCCAAGCACTGAAGAGAAAAAGAAGTAGATTATTGGGTAGTTATTAGGTAGTTAGTTTAGAAAATATTTTTATTAAAACAGCTAATAAGGAAAGGTATTATCTTAGCTTGTTTTGAAATTCAGTATGGTTTTTAATTTTTTCATTTTTTAATAAAAAGTTAATACCCTAAAGCAAAATAAGAATGCTGGCACACCTTGTGGACTGAAAGACCCCACTGTCGCCCTTTGTAAGTTGACACCAGGACTGCAGCATTCACCGGACCGCCAGAGGTGAGGATGGTGTCAGCTCTCCAGCTTTGCTTTGTCCTTGACCCTCCTGTCTTCATGAAACTGGAACATTGCCATCACTCAGTGTCCAGCTGCTGGACAGGACTGTGGCATTTCACATCATTGCTGCCATGCAGAGGCGGCTTTTTAGCTCAACTACCCTACATTTATCTTAGGAAGCACTCATCAAATGTCCTGAAATGTTCTCAAGACTCAAGTCAAAATTTTCAATCTGTTTTAATTTGAAAATGAAACTGATTGAAGAAAGGAAATGCTCAATGCCTGCTTTATGTTCTTTTAACATTAACAAGGAGTTGATTAACTGCCAAGACTTGAGATCTGAGGTGAGAACGAGTTACTCAGCTGCATTTGTTGGGCACCTACTGTGTGCGAGGCACAAATCTGAATCTTTCCTAGGGGACAGCAATGGCAACTGAGAAGACAAGGCACGTTGTTGAGTATGGGCTGCTGTCCTCAGCTGTATTCCCAATCCTGGGTGGAGAAGGTTAACTGGGTTTCCCAAGACCATCTTAAAATTTCTTGTCTAGGAAATTAAAAACTAACATTTCCTTGAAGGCACGCGCTCCTTGAATTTGGGAAAACCCACAGGAAAGCATCCAAAGGGCAACTAGTGTTTCTAACCAACGACAATGACTGAAAATTGATTCCACGGCTCATAGCGACTTTCAGTCCAATCCTGGCTCCTCTTGTCCAGGGCCCTGGTTCTCAAGTCAGAATCCTCGCAGACTGTAAGTCTGAGCTGTTGGCATCGATGGGAGACTCATGGGCAGT